ACCGCTTCCTTGACTGGTGGAGTGTTGTTATCCCAATGGGTAGGATACGACATTCATCCTTGCTAAGTCGTTAGTGGAGAATGTGTGGTTGACCGACACACAAATTTAGGACTGGGAAGAGTGGCAAAGGGTAACTTGATGTTAATCATGGATCAATGGAGCGTGTGTGGTTGACCGACACATTGATCAAGTGATATGTATCATCAAGAGTACAAAGTACATTTGCATGGTTATTCACACCTTGTTTTTGTTCCTCGATATCCCAGTTACAAACTTGAAGGGCATAATCGAGATTTAAACATACCATTGAAAATTTCAATGAATCTCAAAAATTAGGAATTTCAATTCATTTAAAAATTAATCTCCATTTTCATTTTTATGGTGGAAATTGGTAAATCATCATTTACCTACCTTCAAATATATTACAATTGGATTACGAAATCCCTCTTCCGAATTGTAGCATATTGTGTTGGGTCCTAGCCTTAATATTTCATTTGGGTGTCATATTAAGGATCCTTATCTAATCTAAGATTTGTCTTTCTTTTCAGTTATCTACTTCAACCACTGCTTCAAACTCAACTGTTTTTTGGCTCTTTCTCCCTCATGAACTTATGTGGGAGGGTCATCTTTGATGGGTCGAACTTCAATGACTGGATTCGAAACATCCGCGTGGCCATTCGATATGGGGACAAAGAATATGTCCTCGATATTATCCTACACGCTTTGCAATTGATATTATCCTACACTCTTTGTTGAAGCTGAATGTCAATTTCGATGAAGAGTTACAATGGATATTATCCTACACTCTTTGCCTCCTTGTTATGATCAGTTTCATATGACCTATCAAATGAAAAAGGAGGAGGTCACTCTTAGCAAGCTTCAAGGTCTTTTAAGAAATGTTGAAAGTAGTTTGAAAGGCAAATCTATTATACCTACTCCTCCTCCTCCTACTACCCCTGTCTTGGGAATTAGACATGGGAAGGGAAAGAAGAGGAAGACTCCTTCTGAGAGCCACAAGGGAAAGTCCCATGATGAATCCTCTTCTAGTGGGACTAATGTTAGTTCTCCTAAACCTTCTTCTAATCCAACAGAAGCAGAATGCTTCCATTATCATGAAAAAGGGCACTGGAAACAAAGCTGCTATAAATACTTGCAGGACATAAAAGATTAGAAGATCAAGCCCACCTTTGCAAGTATTTACACTATTCTATCTAATAACCCATCACATGCTAATTCTTGGGCCCTTGATACCGGATGTGGTTTTCAATTTTGTTCTGATTTGAAGGGTCTAAAAGGAAGTAGGGATGTGGAGCACGAAAAGATGAACTTTATCATGGGGAATAGGAAAAAGTTGACTGTCACCAAGATTAGAGTTTATTCTTTATTGCTTAGTAGTGGGCTAAAATTAGATTGAATAATTGTTTCTACTTGTCTGATATGGCGAGAAATATTATTTCCTTTCATGGTTTGTATGAACAAGGTTATAGTTTTTCATTTAATAATGAGATTGGTAGTATTAATGATGATTATAATGGTAATTTTTTTTGAAGCATTTCCTTGTAATGGTATATTAAACTGTGATGGTTGTAGATAACCAAGGAAATAATGTATTGCATATCAATTCATCCAATGGTCTGGATAAAGCATGCTTATGGCATTATAGTCTTGGACACATCAAAAAGAAGCACATAGCTCAACTCCAAAAGGATGGATTGTTGGAGTCATTTGACTTAATGTTAGATGACATGTGAATCTTGTTTACTTGGAAAGATGACCAAGTCATCGTTCATTGGTACTTGTGAAAGGGTGAGGTTTTGTTGGATATCATACACACCGATGTGTGTGGACCCTTCAGATCCACCACAAGGGATGCTAACCACTTATATGTGACTTTTACTGATGATTATAGTAGATATGGATATATCCACTTAATCAAGCATAAGTCAGAAACCTTTGAAGAGTTCAAAGAGTTTAAACAAGAAGTGTAGAATCAATTGGGCAGGAAGATAAAGATGCTCTGATCCAATCGAGGTGGTGAGTATCTTAGTATCGAGTACCATGACTATCTTATGGAATGTGGAATTGTTTCACAATTGACGCCACCTAGGACACTGCAACTTAATGGTATAGCTGAAAGGTGCAATCGAACCTTGTTGGACATGGTTCGTTCAATGATGAGTCGAACTTCGTTACCCATCTCATTCTTGGGGTATACCTTAGAGATTGTCGCCCATATCCTTCATCTAGTCCTAACTAAAAAGTTTTCAAAAACACCTCACGAGATGTGGACAGGGAAGGTTCCCTCCTTAGCACATATCACGGTTTGGGGTTTTGAGGCTTTAGTAAGATGAGAGACTCATGATAAGCTCGAACCTCGTATTGAGCATTGTATTTTCATCGGCTACCCACAAATCCTTTGGATATCTCTTCTATAGACCGAGTGAAAATGTTGTGTTTGTTGCGAGGAGAGGAGTTTTCCGCGAGAGAGAACTCATACGCCACGAGGACAATAGGAGGCAAATTGACCTTGAAGAGCATTAAGAGTTAAGTAATGAAGGAACCTCAAGCACTAGCACTCAACCTGAGGAGAAAACTCTTGTTGAACCTATTGACAAGGCCTTAACTCTGAGACGTTCCAATAGAGTTAGAATGGAACCTGAGTTTTATGGTTTCCATATTACTACTGAAGGTTATACATTTATCAGTGAAAGTACACTGGTAAATTTGGATGAACCAAACAACTACAAGGAAGCCATGATAGGCCTCAAGTCTACAAAATGGAAAGAGGCGATGGATAGTGAGATTCAATCTATGTATGACAATCAAATTTGGAACTTGGTTGACAATGTACCAGGTCGTAAAACGGTCGGGTGCAAATAGATCTTCAAGAAGAAGACAGACATGGATGGGAAATCACACACTTATAAGGCAGGATTGGTTGCGAAGGGATTTACTCAAATTCCTGGAGTTGAATATGAAGAGACTGTCTCACCAGTAGCGAAGATTAAATCTATAAGGGTTATGCTAGCGATAGCTGCATTTCATGATTATAAAATATGGGAAATGGATGTCAAAACAGCTTTCCTGAATGGGAAGTTGGCCGAATATGTTTACATGCGTTAGCAAGAGGGTTTTGTCAATGCAAAGTAACCTAATACAATGTGTAAACTTGAGAAGTCCATTTATGGATTAAAACAAGCATCTTGCAGATAGAATCTTTCTTTCGATGAGAAAGTCAAAGAGTTTGGTTTTTCGAGAAGCGATGATGAGTCCTGTGTATATGTCAAAGCTAGTAGGAGTATAGTTAGCTTTCTGGTATTGTGTTTGGATGACATGCTACTCATAGGCAACGACATCCCAACCTTGCAGGAGATTAAGTCCTGACTTGGGAAGTTTTTTTTCTATGAAGGACCTTGGGGAAGTAACTTATATTCTAGGAATAAGGATATTGAGAAACAGGAGTAAAAGACTAATAGGAGTTAGTGGGTGTTTGGCTTAGCTTTGGTGGGGCAAAAGTTCTTTTTGTAAAAGGACTTTTTGGAAAAGTTATTTTTTAAAATGTGTTTGGATTAGCTTTTGAAGAGAAAAGTCAAAAGTTAAAGTGTTTGGTTTAACTTTTACATGTAAAATGACAAAAAAGGACATGTTTCCATATTTACATTGATTTACTACTTTACATATATTATTTTATACTTCAATTTTTTTTAAACACATATTATAATTTTATAAACATTTTATTAGAGAATATACAATATAAATTTCTTTTAAAATATTTATAATTTTTAGATTATACAATGTCAATATTTAAATTACTACATTCATACAAATTGTAAATAATTCATAAGAGGACTTTTTGTATTAAACCATGACAATATTAGAATTACATTCATACAAATGTCAAATATAAATTACGTTCATACAAATTAAAATATTTCTAATTTTTTGGATTAGACCATGACAATATTAAAATTACGTTCATACAAATTGTAAATAATTCATAAAAATTATCATAGATAATATTACATTTATCTACGCAATGTGATTATATCTTGTGCAATAATATCCCGTATCGCTGCCATATATAAATCATCATCGTTCGTGCGACGTGTACTTTGATCTTCTTCGTAAACATCACTACCGGTATCACCTCGTACGGGATTTAGGATTCTTGTTGTGCCCTATTAAACGCTTCATCAAACCTACCAACCTTTCTAATATAGTTATGGATCGCCATCGATGCTATCACAGTTTTCAGTTGGTTCTTGTACTTGTAATTAACATGCATGTCTCTTAATAACGCCCACCTAGCTTTCCACACTCCAAAAGTTCGTTCAATGATATTTCGCAATGATGAATGGAGATAGTTAAATTTCTCTTTCGGTTCACGAGGTTCACGAATAGCAGCCGTGTGTCCATGTCGAAAATTTGGTAAATGATAACGAATATTTGTGCCTTTGTATGGAGCAAGATACCCTCTCGTATTTGGATATCCAACATCAACAACGTAATATTTATCCATAAATAAAACAAACATTTATTATTCGTTTCAAACAAGTAGTAAAAATATAAAACTTGTGTTCCAAAAAAAATACTAACCACCCGTTGGATAGGGAAAATTAAGATCTGATCTCTGTAAGGCTTCATTGAAAATTCTTGTATCGTGTGAAGTCCCCTCCCAACCGGCCCAAACAAATGTAAAGCACATGTTAAAATCACAAACATCCATTATATTTTGTGTTGCATATCCCTTTCGACCAATGTACTTCACTTCATCTTTTTGTGGAACCGATGCCTTGACGTGTGTCCCATCTATAGCACCAATGCAATCCTTCAAATTCAAAAATATATCATAAATAAATAGTTTGTTAAAGTTTGACTACCAAGAAAATAAACATTGGATAATAACTTGAACATTCGATATTACCGAGGGTTATTTAATATATATTCGGGAACATCATCATTATAATTTGCGTCTGGTTTGATGATGTCGGCACTCAGTTTTAGCACGGCTTCCAAAACTGTATGGAAATGCCTGGGAATCGTTTCCCCCGAATGAACTCATGGACAAATCTATTGCTACACCCATGCGCTAAAGTCATCAAGAATATTCCTATAGTCTCCTCTATAGATACTTTTCGTGTTTGTTGTTGCCCGTAATTTGTAGCAAGATCTAAACATAACTGTCTAAAAACCGGTACATTAAGTCTAAACATCTCATAACAACGTCTAGGATGGCCATTTAGTACTTCTGTAATAAACATGTGCCCCGTGCGATCTGAAGTGTGACATGGTGTACGTAAGTTATGAGTGAGTATTATCTCTTTCAAAGCCAATCCACATAACATTTCAAATTCTCTATCCTCTTTCATTACACATTCTTCATTATCATTGGATGAATTAGAATCATAACTATCCATCCTACATAATACAAATAAAATGATGTCAACCATTAACACATAACATAAAGACAAACAATAACACATAATATAAAATGTCAAATACATAATGTCAAAGGACAACATATAATATCAAAACATAAAACTGAATGTCAAAGCATATCACATATTGTCAAAGGATAACACATAAATGTCAAAACATAACACATATGGCTAAATCATTATTTCATAAGTAACTTAAGAAACTCCATCTTGGCTTCATCGATCGTTGGAAACATAAAAGCTTCACGATTTTTCTTTTTGATGAAGACAAACAATGCTTGTGAAAAATTGTTGGACCCTTCACAAAAATCAGGGAACTTGATGACAATTGTCATGCAATCTGCTATTATTGGGGACAGATTGTTTTGTGGATAAGTTTGTGTGCTTTTTGATGATATGGCATCCAATAAAGCATCAACTTTTTCTTCATAAATTGAATTTTTACTCTTGGTTGGACGGTTGTTGGAAACAGACTTAGACCTCTTCCTTTTACTTGAACTACTTTCATGGAGACTAGTAAAAAGAGGCTCATCATCATCTAAGTTGATTTCATCACTATCTCCTTTGCCCTCCATATTTTCTTCGTTTGGATTGCTATTGTTTTGAAATTGTAATTGAGTCATAATCTGATCTCCAACGGCAACAGAATCCCAAAACAAAATAGCATATTTCTCATCAAATATGATCAAATCTGTGTTCCTAAATTTGGCATAATCTTTATTCTCCTACAAGACAAAAAGATATTGTAAATCAAATATGTTTAATTTATATGCAATCATAACTTAAAATAATTAAAAAGAATAGTAATCATACCTTTATTTTCTCCTCCCACCACTAGGGGGATGCATCTACTAGGCTTCTCGTCCCACCGAGTCCGGTTTTAGGCCTCATCAAGTGGTCACAAAGCTTCCACTCTTTTTTCATGTTCTCCCATTTGTTTGTTAATTGTTTTTTTCAAGGCTATAACCTGTTTTCTCCTTAATGCGCTTTTGTATATTTTCCCACCGAATTTTATCAAAGGAGGAAGTGGGTTTACAGCCATTTTTTTCAATCAAGCACGAATCAACAAACACCATGAAGCTACGATTATCCCACCCAAATTTTAGTTTTTCATTTTTAAAGACGTTTCACAATCAACTATTGTAGTGTTGTTTTCATCCATTATGTGTGAATTACATACACTATCAATATTTAAGCAACAAACCAATTTCATTACCCTTTCTAAATGATTTCATTAATTTATCAAAATTCTAATCAAAACAGAAAAAATAGATGATCACAGCATATCAATTTCACAAATCAATCATCTGTTAACACAAAAATCATCCATGAACATAAAATTTCATCAGCTTCATATTTCATCAATTTCATTAATATTTCATATTTCATATTTCATCAATTTCCTAGTTTAACAAATCAGTCATCTGTTAATTCATTTTTCATCAAGTTTACAAAATTTTTGGACTATTTCACAGCATATTTTAGAAATCGGGAGGAACAAATCACTATTTCACAGCACATCAATTACACATTTCATAGCACATCAATTACACATTTCACATCACATCAATTTTAGAGGCTAGAGAGAAGAATAGTTCAAGGAAAATTCGAAATCGGGAGGAGCACATTTCACAGCACATCAATTTCACAGCATATCAATTACACATCATATCAATTTCACAAATCGGGAGGAATTGCTACTGAAAATCGGAAATAGATAGGAAGAGATTGTAACATCAGAGATCGGAAGTCGACTGGGAAAGAAAACAAACCTGATCGTCGGTGTTGCTGGTGTTGCAGGTCGCCGGTGTCACCGTTGGATGTTGCAGGCCGAGATGCGAAAGAGATATGTGGGTGAGCGAAGAGAACGAGGAGGAGGAGAAGTAATGAGATTCGTACCTGTGAAATGTGAATGAAGTTAATTAGGGTAGATAAGGGGTATATTGGTAATTTCTTATTTTTAGGTGGTGAAAAGTTGGGAAAAGTCAAGTAAACATGAGTTTTCAAAAAGCTTCAAATTACCCTATGGGAAAAGTCATTTACAAAAGTCATTTTCACCTTACCAAACATCTTTTTGGACTTTTTCTAAAAGATAAAGTCAAAAGTCATTTTAAAAGGCAAGCCAAACATCCTCTTATTTAAAGTACCTACTTGGACAAGTTGTCGAGACGTTTCAGCATAAATAACTCCAATAAAGGAAAATTACCTATCCAGAGCAATACCAAACTGAGTAAGACTCTGAGTCTGAGTACCGATGCTGAGATAGAAGAAATGAGTCGAATACCATATGCTTCTGCAGTTGACTCGATCATGTATGCTATAACATGTACTCACCCTGATGTAGCCGTTTCTTTGAGTATGGTTAATAGGTATCAAGGGAACCCTGGTATAACTCACTTGACTACAATAAAGAACATTCTTAAGTACCTGCAGAGGACAAAGGACTGGTTCCTTACCCTTAGTGGGAGTAATGACTTGATAGTGACACGGTATAGTGACGTCAACTTTCAGACTGACATAGATAATTTCCGATCTCAGTCGGGCTGGGTATTCACCTTAAATGGAGGAGCAATGACTTGTCAAACTTCCGAACAAGAGACCATAGCTGATTCAACGAGTGATTTTCAATACATAGCAGCAAGTGAAGCATTAAAGGAGGCAATATGGCTAAAGAACTTCATTGGAGACCTTGGAGTTGTACCAACTATAAAGGAGCCTATAGAGATTTTCTGTGACAAAGAAGGTGCGGTTGCTTTAGCCAAGGAACTAAGGGATCATGGAAAATCCAGGCACATTGACAGAAAATTTCACTTCATAAGACATCGAGTAGAAGACTCCTCATAATGAAAGGGGTGTCATCAGAGGAGAACCCAACAGATCCACTTACAAAGGGACTGAGTAGGGTTAAGCACTTACAGCATGCTAGGAGTATCGGGTTGAAGGACGATGTTAGTTTTAATGATTAGATAGATATTTAGAAACTTGTAATACCTAAAATATATTTGATTTTTGATGATTAAGTAAAAGGATTTTTATTTATAAGTAGAGTTACTATCTTGTGTCAATTGTTTACTGTTGTTTTATTTTGCATGTTTTGACTTCCGGAATAATGAAATTATTCAAACTATCCATAGTCGATCATACTTTGGAAGTAGGTTATGTAAGTAGATTATCATGAATGGGTTTTTTTAAGATTTTCTAAGGAGTTAGACATTGTAAAAGTTTGCTACAAACATTCATGAGTGCTCTTGAAATAAGATTTGAGTATTGGACTAAACACACGCTCACATGAATCGCTTCATGGAATTTATCACAAGTGATTGTGAGACGATAATATCATATAATTTCAAACCGAGATATATAACTTGTTGATTACGAGTTGGTTGTGCATTGATAGTACGAAACTGCATCAGTAACTTGATGTTATAAAACGTGTTATTGCAGTGGCGAACCTATGAAGAGCATTTGGGGTCCTGTGCCACTGCTCCGATTCCGCCCCGTAGTGTAAAAATATTAATAAAAAATAAAAAAATAAAAAAATCATGTTAGGTGCACCACCTTCGTATACGAGTGACACCCCTCTTCAAATGTTTTGCATCCGCCACTGTGTTATTGTGTATGATTTTACGAGTAGTTAATACAAGCATATAAGTCATAATTTATATGTTCCTTTAGCCTAAGAGGACTGAATGCGATATTTTGGGCTCCTCGATGATTTTGTTCTGACTTATGTGTTAGGCTCGGTCAGAACTCTATTGATGTGTTCAATTAAGTTTTATGCCAAACAAATCAGAAATCGGGAAACAAACTGCAGGACAATAAGTATGACCATGTTCTTTGTATTTTTCCGCATGATATCTTGAAGAACAGAGGATTATATGATCCCTCATCTAATGAACGCATCAGAGTGCGACAACAGTTTTTTGATAGCTATGATTGATAATCAGATTTTGAAGTTACATTAGAAATTATAGTTATTAAACTTATCCAAGTGGGAGATTGTTGGGTTAGGTGTCTAAGCCCATAACTAAAATTGGTATGTACATGACCCAATAGTTGAAAGGTCCATTTCGGGGTTCCTTCACCAAAAAAATTTGATTGAGTGGATATTTTAGAAAGAGGTTATTTGTGATTTATTAATATATTATAAGAATAATATATTAATTGATAAATAGTATTATTTAATTAGTATTGATCATGAATTAATTTGGAATTAATTTAGTGATCAAAAGAGACTGATTAAATAAACAGGGATTGATTATGTCAATTAGTGGAACATATGATTTGGGCTAATGATCCATGATTGGTTTATGTTGGACTAAGCTTATGTGAAAGTCCATTAAGTGATAATCCAAATCATAGTTTTGGATCATATGCTTAAGTGTAAAAATTAGGTTTAACACATGACTCTTGGAATTCTACACTTTAAATATGTACCCTAAGCCGTAAAATCAGTTACCCCTTGCATTTGAATAAGAGTCTTGCCGATTTGTGTCTCCTAAACGTCTCTCATATCCATCTAGTTGTTTATTGGTATTTGTGACTTGTTTGAGGCATCACACTTGAGGTGCTAAGCTCTCTTAAGGCCAGGTTTTGCAAGCTACTACACAAGGTAATCTTCTAACTAGTTTTTATGATTCAAATGTCACCTTCTCATGCTAGTTAGGCTTCATGCTTTGGAAAATGAATATTGCATGTATAATTAGAGAAAATATAGATCCAAAGCATTAGGGTTGTATCTGCATCGTAAGGATGTTAGAGTATATAAAACCTAACAAAATCAACACTTCAAGCTCCGTCACTGGGTCTAATTATTTAATGATCAGAAATCATTTGGTAACAAATACATGCAACTAGATATGATCATTTATACACATAACTTGATTAATAAACATTAGAAACTGAAACTTCAACATGCTAGTTTTTTATTATCAAACACAAATAAAATCAACAAAAAATTCATTAATTAGAAATCAAGAAATAGGGTTTTGGTTCATCATCACCTAACAGAAATATGGGTTGATTAGCCCACAACTAAGAAAAATAAACATGAAATCAAAATTAACTAGAAAAGACATGGAAAAATCTAGCAAACCGAATGATTCAATGATGATCCTCCTTCAATTATCTTCAAAGCTTGAGTGAAAAATGAAATCTTCACTTCTAAGGGAATTCTAAGTGTTTTTAGTCGTAATCCTTAGCTTAATTTTCAAGCCAACCTCTAGAATTCAACCAAATATCCAGTTTATATAGATTCCAAAATTATGGTTGTCACGGTGTGGGGAATAGATGCCACGTCATGGGCAACATTTAAAACATGTATTCCCTAAGTAATGGGAATCTTGTTCGCATTCTATCATCTTGCTAAGTTCCACTTTTGCATATGATCGCAATGACTTGCATGGAATTGCATTTGTTTGTACTTTCACAGCCAATCAGATCGCTACAATTTCAATTCGGTTCTTGTCTCCTCTCTTCTAGTCACAATGACGATTGAATAGGATCACACTCATTTGCATCCTACCTCGAATCGCAATGAAATGATGTCGAAACCAATATTCCCATCTATTCGAAACCAATCCTCACTATTTACAGCTTTAGTCCTCCAAATTGCAGGTTTTGTTTGATTTTGTCCCTTCTCATCGAGAATGTTCTTTCTACCTGTAAAATATAACTTAACTCAATAAGTACAAAATATATTTGCATTAAACCAAATTATATCTTTAAATATGTTAAAATAATGACTAAAGATATATATATATATATATATATATATATATATATATATATATATGCCACTATAACATACACACAAACACACACACACACACACACACACATATATATATATATATATATATATATATATATATATATATATATATATATATTGTAACATCTTGTTTCCTGTCACTTTTATTTCAATGTCGTCGGTCGGAAGTCGATTTTTTAAAGGCTTTGGGCCATAAGGAGGTAAATTTTAGTCCTTGTGGAAAGAGGTAATGATGGTTAAGAGATTAACCCTTATACTGCATATTAGTTCGAAGGGTATAAAGAGAAACATTATTATCCCATTTCTTGCATGAAATATGGATTTTTGTTTGAGAAGTTCTTATTCCAAGATATCTATATAATATTGTGGGGATCTTCAATACCTTTCAATGGATATAATGATCATCAAAAACAGAGTTGGAACGAATAAGTTATGCCCATTAGAAGTTAAGAAGGTTTTGGGTTAAGCCGAGTATGTTCAGCGTACTAGGAAATGGTTGATCGTAGAGGATGAACCTGGTATGTTGGGCATACGTGATCAAAAACGAAACCCTAATTTCAAGGTTTTGAACTTTATTTAAGCTCCTTAACTTCCCTAAACCCTTATTTCTTTCAGCCTCCATCCTCTCTAACCCTAGCCCCATTTGTGAGATCCTTGAGTTTTTTAAGTGCTTTGGAGTGTTCTTGGTGCATCTTGGAGAAGAAGGAGCTCATTGGAGCAGTGGTGGTTGTATTGAAGCTTGTAGATCTAAAACTTGTTCACCTTGATCTTTCTTTCGGATAAAGCTTGAATCTTGATGATGTATTTGTTAGATCTAGCTAGTTTTGGATGTTATGAGCTATTTGTCACTTTAGTGCATAAAGTTTAGATCATAAAAGTTTGTGACCTTGTTATCAATAAAGTTGGAAACATTATCCATCTAAATATCATTTTGATTCATATCTATAGGTTGGATTAAGTAAGAAAGATGCGCTTTTGGTTACTTTGAAACTTAAAACACTAGATCTTAGTTGCTTGGATCATTCAAATGGATAAAGTTGGAAACTTTATCCATTATGGAAATATTAAGAACCATAAAAATGTGATCTTGGTCCTTCCATTCCTTCCATGCAAGAGTTAAGATGTCTTAATGCATAAATAAGTTAGGGTTTTAGCTTTTGGACCTTTTCTAGCGATAGAAGTCATAAAGGTGGAACATTTATGACTTAAGTCGATGTTTTGTGTCTTGATCTAAGATCTGACATAAGGCGTTAAGGGATTAAGCAC